TTCATTACACATACAAGAAGGTAAAAACATACATGTGTTTGAAGTCTCTTACAGGTGTGTTGGAGAATTCATACTGCAGCTAAATTACTAGCTGTGTGCCACCTACACTAGATAGATACGTCAATAAATATTTTTAACTGTGTGTGATAGGAAGAAGATCTGCATGAAATGGCTTCATCTCTTCTGAACTAGAACCATCGCATTACATTGCCTGGCTATTAAAAACCATCCTTATCACCCTTTCTTAGAACAACAATATGTTGGCATGACACTGAGCAGAAGAAATGGTGATGGGTTTCAAGACAAAATCTATGCCTTCCTCCGAGAGAAAAATCTGGATGAACATCCTGAGGCAGATCTCTGGATCTCCCGTGTTATCCAGATTTGCAGGGTACGTACCAGTTGTGCACATTCTGAACTCATAACATTTAATGAAGACAAATCTGAGGACACCTCTTCAATCTAAGTCAAATACTCCAGAATACATAGTTGTAGCAGTATTTTAATTGTAATAGTATATATCTATACAAAGAAATGTCCTTTTTACTTTAGCATGTAAAATATCTTTTCTGGCAGGTCTGTCACTCTAGAGTTAATTACAAGACCAATACAAGACCAATTGTATTTTAATTGAGGACTGAACTGCTCTAGTCATTACTGCAATTTCTTACAGAACCACTTGTTAATAAAAAAAGGACAAAATATTTTAAAATATTACACATCTGCTTTTCACAGTTAATATATATTAAATATTGGGTAGATATGTAAAATATTCTAAATATTATAAACTGCATGTTTTGTGCTATAATATTAATCACACACTTCATTATTGATCCACATCAAGCAATAAGAAAAAATCTAATAAATATTTTATCAGTTGTAGTTAATTGAAAGCAATTACATGTATTAGTCTGACATTCCAAGGTCTTTTGTTGTAATTTAGAACGTAAAAGTAAAGTATTTTAATAATTTTACACTTACCTAAGATTAATGAAAATGACAAAGTGATTCTGGCATTTTGAAACTGTTCTTTTAATTGGGCACTGCTACTCCTCTTTTTTGGATGTACAGAATATGTAATTCTTAACATTTGAATTTCTTAAGGCTATTTCAGCACTGTGCATCACTATGAACAGTAGTGAATTGGTACCAACATTCAGATCAACTACTTGTAGCTCTTACAGTATGTCATTTTGTTCTGTGCCAGGCTGATCTAGGGGGTCCTAAAAATATACTGCAGAAAAAATGGACTTCAATTCTGAGTACCCGGCTTTTATGTGGAATCCCTTCAGAGAAAATTTTCTTTAATCGCCTGCTGGATGTCTTTGTGTTGCATGCAGATGACTGGAGACAGAGTAAGGTGTATGCACTCTTTTCTAGTCGCTGGTAAGTGTTCATTAGGGATTACATTAACTATATAAAAAAATCAATTAAATATCAAATGTTTCAAATGAAATAAGAGATTGACCCACCTTACAGGTGAAGAGATATAACTAGGATACACTTGAGTGAAGTTTATAGCTCTGTATGGTTCTCTTTGCTTTCTCACAATAATTATTAAAGGCAGGGAACCCAAAGTAAATGAAAACACGCAACTCCAGTATACAAGAATGGAAACATTACTTGATATCTTTGTATTACAGGTACACTCATTGATTATGTTCAAACTAGTACAAACTAACTGCTAGTAAAAACGTAGCAAAGGTATTACCAAACAATTTGTTTTCTTGTAACTAATTATTGTATAGCCTTCTATGATGACTCAGTGCATTCTGTTTGAGAGTTAACTATCTTTTCTAGGAATGCAACAGCTGTTTGTATTTACATGATGGATGAAATTGACCGTGTATTCACACAGTCAAATATTAAGGGCCGTACACAAAGTCTTCCAAATCCCAGGCCTGGAACGGTAAGGGAAGAATTTCTGCATTCTGTTCTTTTTTTTCCTGCCCTGTTCACCAGCTAATATTGGGACTTTAAAAAGTCATCAGCTGAAGCTCTTTCTTTGCTTTGTTGATTCTTTAAATTTATATTGTATGCATGGCTGTAAGAGTAACTTGGCTTTTAATGATAAATTTAATCTGAAAGAGACAGGTATAACATTTTAGTCATTCATGTAGGTAGTTGAGAGATGATCTGAAAGTGATTTGAGCTGTAAGTGGGTTGCTGGATGAGAACCTACTGTTTACTTATCAATACTGTTATTCATGCATTTAAATATTCAGACTTGCAAGTTCGGTAACACCCGATATATACTCTGTTTAAAAATGCTTTTTAAACTCTTTCAGTAAAAGATTCCATATCTTTGAAGAAATTAGTGGTAGGCATGATAAGGATTTTAAAAAATGAAACTGCTTGGTTCACGGTTTTGAAAAGAAACTTTTTGAAATACCTAAAGGGTTGTATAATGATAAATGCTTTAATCCATCCTGAATTGCAGGATGAATTGCACAAATCTGAGTTAAAAGCAAGAGGCATGTAGTAGTGAGCCATATTGAGTAACAGTTATTGATCGGAAATGTGGGATTCAAATGGTTAAAATAATTGCTGATTTTGGAGCTATTTAAGAATTGACAAAGTGGCAACTTAAATATGAAAATGAGGTCTGACAAGGCCATTTCTGTGGCATCTGTTTAAAAAAATGTTTCTGTACTTCAGTGTGTTAGTGACAGTACAAAACTGAACATGGATGTCCTGAATATAATAAAAGACAACCCAGAGATGGAAGATTGGGTCAAGCCTATTGACCAGAGTGCTCCTTTCATGGTTAGTCATCGACATTACAGACAGATTCAAGTGGATGTGGTGAAACGTCGTGCCAACTCGTCACACACTGTCCTGCTGATGTCTTTAGGTGAGTTACATGCTGAAGTCTTATTGCCATATACAGGAATTCTCTTTTTATCTCTGAAGGTATGCTTGATATGCTCCTTGGCTTTTACTAAATTTATCTCAAGCTGCAGGATAAGACAGGATTGCCAGAGAAATACCCTACAAATACTTCTCTACATCTGATTTACCTGCAAGAACGTTTATGAACAGCTTGTCATCTGCAGTAATTCTGACTGGGAATTAGTTTTTAAACTGCTGCAGCTGAAGGTTTGAAATGTAGATGAAATTAAGAACTTCGCACAAAGAAGTGTTTAATTTAGCATTCTGTGGTTTGGAAAAGTGTTTGCCAGGATTCTGTCTTGCCTGCAACAATGTATAGAATAATACAGTTAGAAAATAGTGGATGGATTATTGCGGAAAATAACTCTTTTGAGTCTAAAGTCTGTTTTATGGTTTTACCCCTATACAGAGTATGGAATTCTAAACCAAATGTATTTTAATATGTTCTGCATTGTCAGTCTGTACAATGTAAAATAAACATTACAGCATGAGAGGCTACAGTATCTGCTATTTCAAGAAAATGTGCAGTTCTAAAGATTTCCATTTAGTAAAAATCAGGAAAACTACACGTGAACTCAATTTTGAGATTTTCATGGGACTGTTTAAAGTGATGAAGTTAAAAGATTTGTCACTTTTAAGATTAAAACTAAACAGAAATTAGACTATAAAGAAGCAGCTTAATTTCACATACTGTACATATAGTAATATTTTCTTATTTTTCTTCAAATTGTTTGGTTCAGTATCTTTCATTTTTTGGTATGGACATGTGGTACCTTTTTTTTACATATGTACTTCTCTAAATCTGGAAAAGACTCCCAAGGCTTCAAATAAACTGAGAAGATATGTATATTAAGGCTTCTTTTTCCAATGATTCATTGTAAGAAGTTCACAACACACAGTTTGAAACATGGACCTACTTATGGGGAAGCTTTAATGTATTTCATATAAATTCAAACCTTCCTTTGTGGGCGCACGTGAAGGAACCTATGGTTTTAGGGTTTCTGAATGTTTTCACACCAACACCCAGGGGTCTTTGTTAAAAATGCTGGGGAAAGTCTCTTCCTTTAACACCCCTCACAACTTGCAGCGAAACTCATGCAAATATGTTGGTAATTCTTGTAACTACATTTGACCTTAGACTTCCAGTAAAGCAGGCAATATGTCTGTAAGAATGAAAAACCTAACCAGTTAAATGTAGAACAGAACAGGTCAAATGATTGCAAAAACCAAGTTTGTTTTAAAACTAAAAACAATATTTTAACTGCCTCCCTTTTTTATTGAAAAATAAGTAATAGAGGTTCCTATTAATTGATCCTTTAAAGCTACTTCTGTAACAGCCGATATATCATATTTTATTTGAATGAATGTATTATTAATTACCATATTAATAAACCTTAAATGAGACAAGTGTAAGATCACATTATCAGGTTCATAAATGTCTTCCCTTTTCTGAATGAATCAGGCAACACAAAGGCTTGTAACTGGGGAGTGAGCGATGACTTTTCAGTCACACAAACGTTTTCTTAGAACTGAAAATACAGAAATATCACTTAAATCATATGTAATAGCTATACACTTCCTTTTCTTTTTCAGTCCTTAGTTATAGATGTTTAATGCCTTTCTATAACAATTAAAAATCTTATTTTAAATAAAAATAGT